TTATTTCGTGTCAAGATGTTGATCAATCGCTCAACTGCAGATGGGCTGATGCCGCTTTCATAAGCGTTCGAAGCGATTGTTTTGGCCAGTTGACCGGCATCAGTGTATCGCTTCTTTGAGGGTACATAAGCAACTGCAATCAAGCATTAGCAAGAAAACCTGCGAAAATCGACTGAAGTACGATAAAAACAGGCAGACAGACCTGCTTCTAGATGCTCAAGTGCATCAGGCAGGCTACTCGGCCTGGGCTCTATGCCAGACGGGCCTAACGAGTTGTTAGCGATGCCCACAATTTGAGGGACCTGGCTGTAACATACTACCTTGTGGATCGGACGACATCAATTGTAGGATTTTCACATGAAGATTTGATTCAATTCAATACTGCCGCGTTTCCTTTCTGGTTGGCAGTATCGCGCTGATCCACGTTTGTTGGGGTTCTTCGCGTTCCGTCGACGTCTCTGCGCGCCAAATGCGATATTATGCGAAAGTCCTTGTGCCGATACAAATCGTCTTCTTGCTAAAAAAAAGAAGAGTCGATTTGGGAATCTGTCTGAATCACTTGCAGGTCAATGCAACGGTTCCTGACTTTGTATCCTCAACCGTGCATTCCTATGGGTCGCGGGAATTGTGAGCTTAAACCGAATCTGGCGATCAGCCATATGGTAGTCTACTCCGGAGTATTGCTCATATTTAAAACGGCTGTCCTTGAAGTCGAGAAAGTGTCTTACTTGATTGACCTACGGGTGGCCTGCGCTTCGGTAACGCGGATCCTATGGTTACTCGATCTGAAAGATTAAAATATACCGTTGATGAAGGTTAAAGCTCATGAAGGAAAATGCAGATGTTGCTGATGGCAAATTACATCTAAGCTTTCATTCGGGAGTTACGGGTATATAGCTCCTCCCGCATCACACAAAAGAAACACATTCCAAAGCAAGTTATCCTTACTTCCTCTTCCGTGTGGACTTCTCAGCATTGTCCCTTCCAGACGCTTCAGACACCGCTTCCAACTTCTTCTCGGATTCGGCTGCTGCCGGCTCCTCTACCTCCACATCGCTATCGCCACCTTGTCCGAATTCATTGACTCGCTTGTAATCAACCTTGTACTTATAGCTCTGGTAGAGCCAGATGAAGAAAATCACATCATCTCGGAGAGTGGCAAGCCGGTGGAGCCATGGCATCTTGACCGTAAATGCGAACAGATCATCGATGAAGGTGTTGAGGAATTTGTACGTCAAGGCCTTGCCAGGCATATGAGCAACAGACTGTTGACAATATTAGCTTCATTACAGTGGTATGAATCAAAGGGGCACCAACCTTCAGACGGTAGTTGATATAAAGACTGGGGACCATCATCAAAAAGCCATATGCGTAAACGCTGCCGACAAGTGTTTCAATAATGTAGGAGTACCACGACTTATGTGTGTTGTAGATCAAGCTGTAGGCTGCATATGCACCGAGGAGAGGCACAGCAATGATATAGAGCCAGCGGAATGCAATTTCATCATACTCCTTGGTCTTCTTCTCAGTTTCCGAAAGCTTGTGCTTATCCTCGAATACCACAACGTAAGGAAGGAAAGAGTAGAAAGACCCCGCTGGCGGTGAACGCAGACGCACATTCACAGTCTTGGTGATCTTCCACGCCTCCAGTAAGATACCGAAACCTTGACTGGCAAGGATCATCCAGGAAGTGTTTTCACTGTTATCCATCAAGTAGAGGAAGATGATCATTTGCATGAACACGTTAGCCAAAATAGTGCGGACTGAGGTCCCAACAATGTCCTTCTTCTTGCGCCAGTGAGACTAGAGTAGAGCCATTAGATCGACTTCATACTGTGGTCAAGTGAAAGGAGGAACCTACAATGTCGTTCTTGAACGCCAAAGTTTCAAAGATCATGTGCAGAATCGTAACCACACCAGTTGTACCAAGCAACCAAATGTTCGTGTCAAGGAGGACTTCCTTGACCATCTCAAACTCAGAGCCATCGCCGCCCCCAGGCACGGAGCCTCCAAATGCGGCTTGCCGGGCGCTTGCCTTTGCATTCTCGTCAACACTTGCCATCATGCTAAACTTCCAGTTGGACAGATTGTTCAGAGTGATCCGCAAAGGCATCGTCTTTACGGTAGAGTTGAGCTCGGTCATATGGCTTCGGAGTTGCCAGAAAGTATTCAAGAACACGATAGGGTAGTACCAGCCATTCTGACCAGAGGCATCTCTTGCGCCGGTCGCCTCGAGTTGCATGTGATGACGAATAGCAGGGTGTACTTGGCGGTATTTCTGAACTCCAGAATCAGGAATCAGAGATACCGTGAAGTTGGGGTGATAGTAGGAGGCAATAGAGACATCCGGGATGCTGTTGTCTTCTTTCTCCTCCTCGACATCGTCCGAGCTGGCAAGCAAGTTCTTGAGCTTCTTGACCTTTTTCTTGGGAAGATAATGGTTCAATGGGCGGAAGAAGTGCACGGCACTATCTGTGCTATAATCCTTAGCCGTTGGGTCGAGTTGGTGTCCAGTGAGCGCAACATAGAAATGCGCCCAAAGCGTTCCATTTTGCTGGACTTCCCTGGGAATCTCGATGGTCGTCGCGATTTCCCTGGTGTCACTGTAATTCCCGATCGTGAAGTTCTTCTCACTGAATACAAGAGAATCCGGTGGGAGCGAGCTGAGAGAAGGAAGGACAATGGAAGGCGAGACATAGATGCTGATATCAACGGCGCTGTTTGGGGGCCAAATTGGAGCAACGGTATCGGGGATAGGACTGTAGTCGGCGATTTCGCTGCGAGGCGGACGAGCTTGGAAGGAGGTCAATTCGCCAGGCTTCGCTCCGGATCCAGCATTCTGTGACTTGTTTCCGAAAAATTGAGTGATGAGAAACTGCACCAGCATAAAGATAGCGAGACCCTGAAGAGCACCCTTCAGGCCGGACTAGAAGGACACGAGTGCACGTTAGCTTATCAAGTCCTGCGAGCACTGGTACAAATGAATACATACGCCGCCAGACTCCTGCTGTTCCCTGCGCTGTCTCTGTTCTGGCATCGTGATCTGCTGACTAGAGATTGACGATGACAGAAAAGAGTATTAGTCCAAAAAGGAGGGAGGGGAAAAGGAAAGGTAGAGCCGTAGACGGACAGCCGACGGTCGAGAACCGAGCTCGGTCCACCTTGGCGGGCCTTAGGCCATTATTGTGGTAGCGTTCTCGCTCGGCGGAGGTAGTCGATGATCAATGATGTCGTCTCCGAACTTCATTCTATGCAATCAATACTGTGCTTAACCTCATATATCTCTTGGCTGTACTGAGGTAGATCTCACGCCAATCTACTCTCGCAGCAATCTGATTCAATCGCGGCTTCTAGGGGACCGTCCGCGATGGGCTTGTCTGGCGCTTGAACTATCGGCTGCGACCTAATGACGGACAATCAACCCTCCCCTGATTACTCCCGACCACAGTTTCCTGCCCATAGCGAACCGCGAGTATGGATTCTCACTGCAGGAGACTCGCCCATTGGGATATCGGTCACCCGCCAGATTCTTAAGCACGGAGACTATGCGCTAGTTGGACTGGCACATACATACTTGGACCGGGACGAATGCCGTCGCAAGGAGTTCGGGGACTTCCTGGCTGAAGTTGAGAGTCACCGCGACGAAGGATGGGTGCAACGCTTCAAGACAGTCCCTTTGGATATCAGGTGCGTACGTTTTTGACCCTGAATTTGCTGCTCAGAGCTCACGTTCGACATGAAGAATGATAGGGCAATGTCAAGCCTTGGTCGCCGAGGCAGTCGCAGCATTCGGCAAGGTAGACATCCTACTCTGCTGTACTAGCCAGAGTAAGGAATCCATTCTACTGTTTTCCGAGTTCTGTTTTATGTACTGACACGCCAGAAGCCCTTGTCGGCACGGTAGAGGAGCTTGCAGCTTCTCAGCAAACCTTGAACTTGGTCAAGGACCAGTTTGAAACCAATTACTTCGGCCCTCTGAACATCATCAAAGCAGCGCTACCTCATATGAGGAAGCAGAAATCCGGTCATATCATGATTCTTTCTAGCATTAGTATGATATTCCTTGGCCCCTATTGCTCCGATGCGACTCTAATTTGGAGTAGCTGCCCACATCGGTACACCCGGCCTTGGAATGTACTCCGCCGCTGGCTGGGCCCTGGAGGGATTTTGCGATGTAAGTTTTTGGCAGAATGCACATTTCTTACATTCTAGCTAAGAAGTCGCATTATTTAGAGCCTTGCATACGAAATCGCTCCATTCAACGTGAAGCTCACAATCTTCCAATGCAGCATTGAAATTGGTATCTTGACAAATTTGATCACCAGTGTGCCTCCCATAGTTCCAGCGTACTCTCCTGCCGTCAATCATGCCCCTTTGTTCCGTGGCATATTGAACAGACTGATTCCTCGTCTGCCCCACCAACAGACTCGGCACACGGAGAACGGATCCCAAAACCCAAATCAAGTCAGCTCTGCCGAAGAAGGGCCCTTTTCCGCACCCAAAGTTTTCTCCATGCATCCACCGCTAAGTTCCGCACATATGGAAGTCCTGGTTGAAGAGACTGTGTACGCTATCACAGCCATCGGTGGCCATGAGAACCCACCTTCACGTCACATAGTGGGACAAGAAGGTGTTGCAAGCGTCAAAGAAAAGCTCAAAACCGTCAGCGAAGAAATGGAGGATTTCATCCAAGCAAGCTTCGCCGTCGATTACGCTGCCGACGGTGGCCCCGGTCCGTCCAAGGAAGATAACATGGTCATGGGAGCAAACCACAATGAAAAAGTTTGACGTTTGAATCGCGGGTCCTCTCAAATATTGCTAAAGCGCTTTTTGTGAGACTTCAACTGCTATTCCGTTCGGTAAAAAGTAGCTCTTAAGGACTCCACGTAAGATTGAGGACAGCACCTGGCCGAAAACGATTATGAGGAAGTGACCGTCAATGCTCGCATTTCAACTCGTAGCCAGCACAAATTTCTCCCAGATACATTGAAGAGAAGATTTTACTTCCCTCTAAGGTACCAAGCCTGTCTGACTTCCCATAAACTTCCCATGTCCTGGTTGTTTCGGTAAGATCGAAACTCCTTCCAAGCATTCCCGTTGGGAACGTCCTTGATACGCCCATCCACTTCCAAGATTTTCAGAGCGAGGGCGCTGGGTCCCCCGATGTTCTCTAAAATGATTTCCGAGGTCTGATCCGAATCGCCGGTCAAATTGGTTGAGGATGACTCCTCGTCCTTCGCTAGACCAGAAGCGACTTTATCTTGAAAGACTGCTGTAGATGCTGCGGCAACGCTTTCTGCTTCTGTGTTGTTAGGTGAGACAGCGTCAAGTGTCCCTGTAGGTATGAATGAATCTGCCTCTGCTCGAGAATCGGTGACCTCCACCGCCAAGGTTTTGGGATTGGCTACAAGGACAACATCGTCATCTGGCTCACAATTCTGCGAGTTATCCTCAGAAGATGTAGATTCCTGTTGACGCTTTTTGCGACTACCGTGCTCGACCTCAGATTTCCGCTTTCTGGAGGATGTGGACTTTCTCATGTTATCGGTGTCGCCCTGTGTTTCTTCATTTTCCTTTGCAGCTCCGTTCGTGGGGATCTCAGATTTGGAAATCTCGTCGTCCTTGGCCTGAGAACTTGCCGTAGAATGCTGACGGACTGGAGCTTGAACGGCAGACAGGAAGACTCGTTCGCCTGAAGGGATCGCAAAAGTCAATCGCTTTCCGTTAATCTTCAGAATCTAGCCATGAGTATTGGTTAGCTCATAAAGGGTATTTGGCGAACGAGAAAAGAGGGCAAGGGGCCCTGCACTTACTTTTGCCTCCTTTTCGACTAAGACCTTATTTCGCCCTTTGCCAGCAAAGGTTCGCGAATACTTCCAGACATCGCCTTCACGCACGAGACCATGCTCAATGAGCGTAGTCAACTTCACTTGGGAACTCTGTCCAGCGGCAAGTGTTTTGTCCATTTTCTGCTTTTGGCCCCAGAATTCTTCAAATTCCTCCTCTTTAAATCGGTCAAATTTCCCCTTTTCCCTTTCGCGCACAGCCTCATGAGCTTGGCGTTGCCATTCAGGGTCATACCGGCCATGTTGGAGGTCTAGCTGAAACAGACGAATACTATCTCGCCAGAAGTTCGAATAGCGCAGGAAAGATTCGGGTAAAGGGGGTATCTTCGCTTCCGGATCATCGGACGTGGACTCGCGGTTCGGGTGTAAACTCTCAGGAAGAAGACTCAGTATCTCCTCTTTCTCGTTTTCTTCAAGGCAGTCCCATGCCTCGCGCCGCGCGAGCAGTTTCTAAATCAGAACAACCTCCATCAGCTTTCCGGTCACGTTCTCTGACAGCGCACAAAATCCTCTCAAGCACGACATACCACAAGGTCTATATCAATCAGCTGCGAAGTGGTACTGGTCATCAATTTTTCCTCCTCCCACCGATCCTTTGCCGTTCTTCGGGGATTTCGCTTCGGTTTGGTGTTTGTAGACATTGCGGAGCCGGACGCGCCAGCGTCATCAAAGCCTGCTACATCAGCAGAGCGAGTCGAGCGGGTTCTGAATCATCATTGTTAGAGATCTGCACTTAAGAAACACGCAACAGACATGGAACGCGAGGGAAGCATATATCACAGCTTTCGCAGTCTGCTGAGTGTTCTAGACGGCATCACTTACGTCTTTGGTTGTTTCCCCGTACTGCCGTCCCCGACCGCCTTGCGCTTGCGGCCCATTGTTGAGGACAACACCCGGAATCTCTGTCCTGACAGCTGTCTTCTGGAGATTTGCGCACACTTTAGACGGTAGATAAGGTCGCAGTTACTCTCATAATGGTCAAGTCGACTCAGATTGCGAGGCTGGATGGTAAGATACAGCACGATGTAGTGTTGAAATGTGGGCAGTCACTGACGTTTAAGAGGGAAGGCCTGATGCTAGCAGCGTCGGTGGATGATGAACAGGTAGGTGGACGACTCATTCACTGAATCTTCACAAGAGAGAAGCTAACCAAAGACCTTTATCCAGGCAGAAGCGGAGCTTTCCGAGATTAAGTCTCAGGCCAAAATGATATTTCGCCGGTTGAACCGCAATTCTGCACCACAAGCCAGTATTGAATCCAGCCAGTATAATTTACAGTACGCACGGTCTTCATATGCAGAATCCTTAGAAACCTACTTATTCCGAATTTAGCTATCTCATCAAAGACGACATCTGCTTTTTGTGTATTTGCGATCGTTCGTACCCCCGGAAGCTTGCCTTCACCTATCTCGAGGATCTAGCAACGGAATTCACCACCACATACTCCCCGTCACAGTATCATTCTCCGAATCTGCGACCATATGCTTTTGTGGAGTTCGACACTTTCATTCAACGCACCAAGAAGATTTACCAGGACAGCCGTGCATCGCAAAACCTCGACCGGTTAAATGACGAGCTTCGTGATGTGACCAAGGTAATGACCAAGAATATCGAGGACCTTTTGTATAGAGGGGATAGTTTGGAACGCATGGGCGAGCTATCGGGGCGTCTGCGGGAGGACAGTAAGAGGTATAAGAAAGCCGCAGTTCGCATCAACTGGGAGCTGTTGATCAAGCAGGTAAGTTGTCTCGACAATCCCAGGAAGATTCCCAGAAATGCCCCTCTGACTTATCATAGTATGGCCCATTTGCGGGTGTTGGCTTCCTCGTACTCTTTCTAATCTGGCTTCGGTTCTTCTGATCCCTTTCCTCTTCCGAGCGCTTAGGGGTGTTTAACCCCCCTCGCTTCAATGTATCTTAATGTTTCCTCATGGATGCAGGACATCCTGCCACTCATACTTGGCCTCCTCAGTTTGATAGACGCATAATCTCCAAGCCAGAGCCTCATACTTGCTATTGCAAGACACAGAGAAGCAAGTAACTCGCTGCTGACGGCAACCAGAAGAGAGTCTGCATATGAAGAATGAGACGAAGTCATGTAGACGGTTTGCGAAGGCGCTGTGACCAGCCGGATCAAAGGTTAGAATTCGTCCTCTTCTTCGTCAAAATCATCCTCTTCGCCCATATCATATAGAATGCGTCCGCCTTCTCCAGGGCCGTCGCCTTGCTGCGCATCAAAGTAAGGCAACACGACTCCTTCTCTCTCCCTTCTTTGCCGTTCGGTGAGACGTAACTCAAAAGTCGACTCTGGTTCGTTGCTCCCCATTCCAACGCCTGGCTCCACCGGTGGACGATACAGCGGGTGATCGTCCAGTAGAATCACAATTTCCTTCGCGTAATTGGACGGATAGCGCGCTGCTGGTGGTAGTACATACCACTCCAGAACGCCGCGTCCACTCTTACGCCGATGCTCCATTTCTAACACGACACCTTCCACAGAATCCTTTCCTGTTGGTTTGTCCAGCCGGCCGAGCAGAACTCCATCCAGCTCTTCTTCGAGTCCAAAGACAGGCGCTGCCAGACTGCGATCACGGGCAGCTTTCTGGGCAAGTATGTGTGAGAAAGAGTGCAGCTTGATGACGGTCGTTGCGAGATAGCTAAGCACAGAAAACGAAGATGGAGAGTAGGGTGTTGCACATGAGGGGTTCGGGACGTCCTGGTGGAAGGTCACGATAAGCGAGGTCTCAACTTTGGCAGGAGATGACCCGGGAGGTGCGATGAATGAGCCGAGAAAAGTTGGCAAATGAAACTGCGCATCGGTCTTTTTAGAGTGCAAGAGTGGATTGATAGAGTCAATGAGAATTAATCGACCTATAACCAGGAGGTGAAGACGTGAGCATAATCGTGAAGGAACCGGTTCGGATGTTTCACTTACGGCGCGAGGGAACGTTAGAAACAGGCTGGTAAGCAGCGCCTACTTCCCTGAAAATTTCCGAGGGATGCTTCTTCCGAGCTGAGATGAATGCATCGACACCTTCGAAAGACCTCAATGTCTCGAAAGCTATGAGCGTTACGTGAACTTTTGAAAGCTTCCCCAGGGGCCGTTAGCACAATGAATTAGCTTGAAAATAGCTAGATTATGCTATTAATAGCAATGATCATAGCCAGAATAAGTGATCAAAATGTAGCTTCCTACTCATTGGATAAATTACTCACCCTTGCACGTCGAATATACTCGTGAATCAATGGCGTTGCTGGTTGTTCTAGAGAGTCCAACAACAATGTGAGTGGGGAAGCTGTGTCTCTGAGGCTCAGAAGTTTCGAGATTAGAAGTAGATTATGTGTCTGCCGATGAGATAAATTTGAAGGAGCCATTTTGTAGGCTACAAACGTCGTGCGTGCCTTTGTCGACGATGAAAAGTTTCGCGGTGCGGGGTTTGTTTCGAGGGATCGGAGAAATTATTGAATCATCGACACCAGAATATTCTTGGGCAATTCTTTGCGACTAACTACTTTTCGCAGTTAGACTGAGGCTCAGCGGGACGGGCCGTCAGGCTGCATCAATTTCGCAGATTACTGGGCGCCTGACTGCCTGAGGCACCCAAGTGAGTTAGTCCTTCATCTCTCGGTTGAGTCAAAGGCGCAAGGTATCCTTGTGGTCAGATAGAGTGTAGAAGAATGAGGGTTTTCTAGTCTTCAACGAGCCAATAAGCCATGCTGAACCTCGTGGTTTGCTTATTAAGAACTAAGAAATCCTGGAAGCTAGTTTTTGAATACTTCGTTGAGATTCCGGGGAGGCTACCTCATTACAGGTACGGCATTCTCATACATCAGTCTCTCTATACGGCCTGATGTGCTCCTAGGCTTTCGCTCCCTATCACTCAAGCGATATTTGGTATATTGCACGGGTATGGAACACCTTAGGTATTAGAAGATGTACGTGGGCCTTCGATGTCTCTCTGAGCTTCCGCGACCAGCATTATTAAATCAATGGAGGCTATAGTCTCGCTCCTAAACAAACCAGGCTATGGGGCTATTCTTATCCGATGAAAGTGTGCCTTAGCGCTGGAATTTCGGATTCAGCACTGGTCTGAGACATCCACCAAACGATTGAAGCCCACCGTATCCAGTTATATCGTTGTTTTTCTGCTGTGTCTGGTTTGTAATTGATGACATATAAAATAATAATGGTAATCAGTTTGACAATCCCATGAATATGCTATTTTTGGGAGATGAGTTAATATGTTGAAAATAGAACTGCAAAAAGGAGCTACTGTTCGTGAAATCCGAAGAAATCATCAGCAGAGATGAAAGCTGGCTGTTCCGTTCTGGAAGATACTGACCCCTCAGTCTGTCCTCATCTTTTTTAAGGTTGGTATTGAAAGGCGACGAGAAAATGGATGTGATTGAAGGTTGTAAAAGATTGTTGAAAGTCGACGGCTTGAATTGGCTTAGTGGCGCATCAGGTAGAAATCGGCAACCGTATTAACTTCACGTTCTCCGTTTCAACTGCACCAAAGGTGGTTTCAGCAAAAGAACACGGCAAAACCCATTTTTCGATGAATTGATACCCCTTTTTTAGACAAGCAATGAGTCTCCAGTCGTTTCTATAATAATACCCTCCCCAGTCGCCGAATATCGCCTTATTCTCGAGCGTCGAAAGAAGCACGTCTCCCTTATCGACCATTACGATCACGATCTCCGCAACAGCGCAGAATCGAAAAATGGCAGAGCCCCCCACGAAAAGAGCAAGACGAGTCGATAGCTCGACAATGTGGGACTTAGACGAACGAAAAACGCGTTCTCCTGAGCCGGACTCAAATACCGGCAGAAGCCCTCGGCGTGACGCACATCAGAAGGACGATCGGCGGCGTGAGGGGCTCCGCGATGACAGAAGATATCGTTCACGCTCAAGAGATCGGGTTGAAAGGCGCAGAGAAAGGAGCAGATCTCGAGATCGACGTGACCGTGACCGTGACCGTGACCGCGATCGCGATAGGACAGATCGGGATAGAGATGGTCGGGGAGCAAGGGACAGAGATATAAGCGCGACCAGAGAAAGACATTACGATAGACGAGGTATGCTGTATCCTGCTAATGCATTGTGTTACTCATACCTAATGCTCTTCAAGGATATCGAGACAGAAACCGCGACCGCTCCCGCTCACCCATTCGGAATGGGAATAGGGACAGGACTAGAACGCCACCACCTCGAGGGCCCAAGGGAGATCGCAGGGACGATCGCAAAGATAACCGTCCGTATGGCAATGGCGTCCCACATTCACCGTCACGACGAGACAAGGACGAGATGGAGTTGGACGCCGCAGTACCGATCGAAGAAGATGAAATGGAGGCGCTGATGCGCAAGAACATGGGTTTTACAAGGTTCAGGAGCACAAAGAATACCAAAGTGCCTGGAAACAACATCTACGGTGTGCGGAAAGAGAAGAAGACTGTGTACAGACAGTACATGAACCGTGTAGGCGGATTCAACAGGCCTCTCAGTCCTTAATGCAAAGCGACACTGCAACTTTGTGATGCAACGATCGCTAAGAACTTTCTACGTCCATCGACTTCTTCTTCTCCTCATCTTCTTCATCTGGGCAGATTCTTCAGTTCTATTTGTCATCCATTGTGCGCATTTTCCGGAGTAGGTTCTGTTATGGCATGCTCTTTTGTGTGTCTTATGTCTGGGCGGGATATTTGGAGTGTTCATATTGATTCAAACCAGATTAGAGCTAGCAGCTAAGTCATGCTTACCAAACCCTCAGTACAATACCAATAGCTTGCTGGCGATGAGAGCAAACTAATAATTCTTCCTCCTGTCGGCTTTCAAGTTAGAGTTCTTTTGTATGCCAGCTGCTGCGACAAGGCAAGTCACTCGAGTCATAGATTAGATTCATAGATTTTGTACGACACCACTCCCTATCCCATGATGAGATGCTCTGGACCTGACAATATGTGGGCTGCAAGGAAAAGCTAATACAGGGGTTCACCATGCTGCTCAACGGACTAGGATCAGCCGCTTGGAGGGATCGCAGGCACCTTTCGCTACTCCATTTCCAGCTTGTCCAATCAGACAAAGCCACTCTTTTCTTGGGCTGCTTTGGTACCCTTCAATGGGGCTTGGAACCCGCAATGTACTACCAGTGACCTCGTTCGACCAGTGCTCGAGAACGGTGGCTAACGCATTTGCTCAACACTCGATGATATAGCACCGGCAGTGGTCAGGAATCACTGCGCGGTGAATCACCCTACGTTTAGATTTAGAAAACGGTTGTATTTAGAATGCCCAGGCTTTAACAAGTAGCTGCATTGCTTCCATTGGGACACGCATCGGCCTATGTGTCTAGTCCTAGGTCTAGAATGCCTGAGTTGGTGTATATTGAGTAGTGCTCAGGATGAGTAATCAATCCAACTATGACGTATTTATGGAATGAACAGGGACTTTCCGGCTCTGACCATGATGCATCTCACTCAGTGAGCAAAAAGCTGCAGCACTTTGGACTGAATCTGGAGATGGAAAGTTGCCCTGTTTCTGCAGAGAAACAGTTTGATGGCCGCTTTTTATATTCCCCACCCCTCCCATCTTTAGAGCATCTAATAACGCACACCAACAACTTCCGTAAGTGTGGTTTCCACAAGGTTTTTGCAACGCGGATTGTTCCTGCAACGTAAGATGTCGGCTTCGAGGGAGCGTCGTGAAATTGTTATCGTCGGTATGTATGGTCTACTTCCAATCTGAACTACCCCGCACTCATTTTGAGGCGCGCAAAGCTGATAAGATGGTCCCAAAGGCGGTGGTATCATTGGATGCTGTTCGGCATATTATCTGACAAGACACCCATCATACGATCCATCGCGCCATAAAGTAACTCTGATCGAGGCGACAGAAATTGCGGGAGGAGCATCAGGCAAAGCTGGGGGACTTCTGGCGCTATGGGCATATCCAAGCAGTATTGTTCCTCTGAGCTACAAGCTGCATGCGGATCTGGCCAAGGAACACAACGGTCAAGAGAGATGGGGTTATAGAGAAGTTGGCTGTGGACAGATTGTTGTGAGAGGCCGTCCACTTAATGAAAAGAAGGAAGCCGGCGAGAAGGACACGGGAAGCTCATTATCCCTTCAAAAGCGGAGTGAAGCTGCTATTGCGAAACTAAGGAAAGCCAAATTTCCGCATGATCTCGATTGGATTGACCCCCAACTGATCAGAGGCTATGAGAGCATGAGCGACCCTGGCGAAACCGCCCAAGTTCACCCTTACCTGTTCACCACATCAATCGCAAAGCTTGCCGAGGAGAAAGGCGCAGAGATCAAGTTGGGATCAGTGACAAGCATTGGCTACGCAGGTGATGCTGTGGAGTCAGTTACATACAATGATAAGGAGTCCGGAGAGTCGCGCACAATTTCGGCGACGGACGTCATTATTGCCGCTGGTCCCTGGACACGAACCGTCATGCCGGATGCTCCCATATCGGCAATGCGCGCTCACAGTGTTGTCATCCGACCAACCAAGCCGGTGAGCGCTCATACTCTATTTACGAACATTGAAATACCCGCCAACTTCGATCCATCGAAGCCCTCACGCCCCACAGTCGTGTCCCCTGAGATCTACGCTCGCCCCGACGAGACGGTATACGCTTGTGGCGAGGGTGACCAGGTTGTCCCGCTTCCAAAGACCACAGTAGATGTTGAAGTGGACCAGACACGGTGCCAGGACATCATCGACCAAGTGGGAAGCATATCCGATCAGCTTCGGGACGGACAGGTTTGCGCACGGCAAGCTTGCTACTTGCCCAACGTCACTGCCGTACGGGGAGGGCCCTTGATCGGCCACACTGGCACCAAAGGGCTCTACCTAGCCGCCGGACACACCTGCTGGGGTATCCAAAATGCTCCCGGGACCGGAAAGCTTATCAGCGAATTTGTCTTTGATGGCGATGCAAAGAGCGCCAAGATCGGGTCTCTAGATCCGAGGAACTTTCTCTGAAAGCTCTATATAGACTAGAATCATGTCACTTTTGGTGTAGCCATATCTGGAAATAATTTGTGCCTCATCATCTGGCTCAATCTTCGGTTGCTCAAGGCGATGCGGAGTAGAAGACGAACAGTTGGGACTCGGTATACCGTATAGGAGCTTGGGCCACGTGGAGCGGAAGCCAGAAGCTCTCCGCTTTAGGACAGATCATAGGTACCTAGTGTTGAGAACCATTCCAATTGCAAGGTCTCCATGTCATAATTTCATGCCGAATCTTGAGGTTTCTACTTTTTCTCCGATGCATTCATAGATATGCATTTCCCCAATTTACATTTCCTTCTCGCGCCCTTCCTCTATAATGTCGTGGTCTCCGCTGGTCAAGCCTCCGCCGCAGACGATTTATCTGTCCTGACCACAGAGACAGCGAAGGCCAATAACGACTCGTTATTATGGGGTCCCTACAAGTCCAATCTCTATTTTGGTGTCCGCCCTCGCATCGCAAATAGTCTGTCCGCCGGGTTGATGTGGGCGAAGGTGGACAATTATGCCACCGCGCAAGCCAGTATGTTTGCAGCACGATTAGTGGATTTAGAGGGCGATTGCATCGCATTGAATACTGACCGCTATTCGAAGACTTCAGACATACGTGCGAGCAGAATGAAGGCATGGCTGGCTATGGCTGGGACGAGTACGATATCAGGAAAGGCGGCAGGCAGACAATCCATGACACCGGAAACTCCTTGGACTTGACAATCGACTTCATTAAGGTTCCTGGTGGACAACATGGCGGCAGCTGGGCTGCCAGAGTGAGAGGTGTCCCGCGCGAAGATGGTTCCTCCGACCAGCCTACATCAATCGTCTTCTATGCTACTTTGGAGGGGCTGGGTAACCTGGGTGTTGCGACGGAATCGGGTCCTCTTGGGTATGAGGGGGACGTGAAATTGACTGGATATACAACCGATCTTGGGGACTTTTCCGTCGATGTGACTGCTGGCCCTAGAACCAATGAGCATCCCGAACATGGACACCCATCCTATGAGGACAAGCCGCTGGATCGCACTCTGGTTTCCAGCTCTACCATTGCACCTGAAAACCTCTGGCAGGTGAAGGGTAGGCTCAGCATCCCGAGGAATTGCTCTCTCATGTGAAATTGGCGCTGACGTATGTACAGCCATTCTTTTCGCGCAGATGAAGTCCGAAGTCAATGAGATTATACAGAGATTTGGCCAGGAGAATCCTCCCCCACCAGCGCAAGTTTTTACGATCAAGAACGCGCCTGGCGACGGGAACATTCATCTCATTCAGAAGGTGTTCAAGGGTGCTTTCGAGGTATTGTTTTACCATTTGCTCGTCGGTACATGGCTTACATTTCTAGTTCGATATCCTGTTCAATTCTGGGTCTTCTCCAGACCCCATGACGTGTAAGCTCCGACTTCTCTTGGCCTCGCCGGCCGATCGAACTGAAATACTAATCAAAGGGATATAGCCGACAAGCTCACCGAAGAGATCTCCGGCGCATCCCAATCATTCTCTGAACGCTTCGACAAAGTTCTTCCACCGCAGTCTCCCTTCAAAGCTGCGGAGTACTCTGAGTTTTCCAAGGCAATGCTGTCGAATCTTATTGGCGGCATTGGCTTTTTCCATGGAGATGATGTTGTTGACCGCTCTGCAGCACCAGAGTACGAAGAAGAAAACGAAGGTTTCTGGGAGGAGACAGCCGAGGCGAGGGCGCGAGCTCAACCCGTTCTTGAAGGGCCCAAGTACCTCTTCACTTGTGTTCCGTCTCGCCCCTTTTTCCCCAGAGGATTTCTATGGGATGAGGGATTCCACCTGATACCTGTGATTGACTGGGACACTGACCTTGCGTATGTTCCTCGATTTACCTGGCCTATTCCCCTATTCTCCAATATCCGTTTGATGAACTGGCCTACTAACTCAGAGAAAGGCTCGAAATTGTGAAGAGCTGGCTGAATCTGATGGATGAGGATGGCTGGATCGCTCGAGAGCAAATCCTTGGTGCCGAGGCCCGTAGCAAGGTGCCACCAGAATTTACGGTTCAGTATCCTCATTACGCCAACCCGCCGACTCTGTTCATGGTATTGGAGGCTTCTCTGGATAAGCTGGAGGCTAGCAAGGGCGGCTCTTCTCAAAAGTTCGACGACCAGGGCGCGCTGGACGGTCTGCGTATGACCTATCTGCAGAAACCGGAACTGGGCGAGGCATTCATCCGATCGATCTATCCGCTGCTCAAGCGGCATTACTTTTGGTACAGGACTACCCAAAAAGGAGACATCAAGTCATACGACCGCGAAGCGTTTTCCACGAGAGAAGCATACCGCTGGCGAGGAAGGTCCGTGCAGCATATTCTCCCTTCGGGACTGGATGATTATCCTCGCCCACAGCCTCCGCATCCAGGCGAGCTGCATGTCGATTTGATTAGCTGGATGGGAATGATGACTCGTGCCATGCGACGTATCGCTGAATTTGTCGGCGAGACCGAGGATGTGGAAGAATTTAGAGGGTACGAAACGGCGATTGAGCGTAACATCGACGATCTTCATTGGGATGATGAGGCACAGACGTACTGCGATGCCACCATCGATGAATTCGAGGAAAGTGTCCATGTTTGTCACAAGGGCTATATCTCCCTCTTCCCGTTCTTGACAGGCATGCTGGGCCCTGATAGTCCTCGACTCAAGGCTGTTCTGGATTTAATCAGGGATCCAGAAGAGCTTTGGAGCGACTACGGTATCCGCAGCTTGAGCAAGAAAGACGAGTTCTACGGTACTGCCGAGAACTACTGGAGAAGCCCGATCTGGATGCCCATCAACTATTTGGTGGTCAAGAATCTTTACGTGAGTAGAGCATCACTTGAACTATCGGTTCGTACAGATAGACTGACTGGGCCAACTAGGACGTTGCAACAACATCTGGACCTCATCAAGAACAGGCGCGTGAGATATACTCGAGCTTGCGGAAAAACTTGGTCGAAAACGTCTTCAGACAATGGAAGGAGACGGGATTTGCCTGGGAACAGTACAACCCTGAAACCGGAAAGGGGCAGCGGACGCAACACTTCACAGGGTGGACCAGCATGGTAGTGAAGATCATGTCAATGCCTGACCTGCCTGCTAACAAGCAGAGAGGCCATGACGAGTTGTAGAATTATCAAAGAAGATCCTTGAATTTCTTAAGATACTAGAGGGAATCGAAACACCTGTACACTAACATTTGCCTCCCAGCGCCGAACTCCATGTGCAAAAAATCATAGATATGATGCAGTCAAAAAACTCACCGGCGTCGATAATGATCGGAGTCATGATCCTTTGGATGTCTTCGACGATGGTCTTCTCTGTGTGTGCGGTGACCGTCTTCCCCGGCCCTTACTCTGCTCGTGGACCGCGAACTTGTTCGCCTCCTCCGGCGTTCGCGATCACGAGACCGGGATCTCGATCGGTGACGGTGGCTTCGATGATGACGTTCGCGCTCTTCGTGATGCCTGTGGTGTCTGTGGCCTCTGTCTCTGTCTCTGTCTCTTTCTCTTTCTCTGTTGCTCCCGCGATCCCGCATACGATGCCTTCCTGGACTCCGACTCCGCTCACTTCTCCGTTCTCTCTTCCTATCAGCTGGATCCTGGACCGCAGTCTCCGTCTCCCTTTCGCCTAGAGGTGTAAGGTTTGCATTGGCACTCCCACTCGACGCTGGTAGGGGTAGGCCCAAGGCTCGCGCCATGGCTTCATCCTCTGCTTGTTTGACCCGTTGTAGCTCCTCACGATCCCTTCGAGCCTGCTCTTCCGCGGTTGTCTCGCCCTTGGCATACCATTGTAGATCACGACCTTGTTGCCAGCGACCGACGGGGGCCATAAGAGAATGGCCGAGGTAATTCTCGCGATGTGCCGAGTCCTTCACATCAGACCATTTAAACTCGTTGCGGCCGCCGCTGTTACAGTCAATATCCATAGAGTAAATACACGGGTAATGAAAACTTCAGGGAGCGCTTACCGGCTGCCTTCTTTGCGAACACCTGCGACAAGATCCATCCTGGCTGTATGTTCGCAGAAAGCTCGGTTGTGATTATTGTCAACAGATGGAGACTTCTTGATCAGCTCACTGAAGGGGGCACATGGCACGTGCGCATATACGCCTGAGGCATCAAGAAATATTGTCTGACCTCATTGATTACCACAAGTGGACGAAGGTATATCGTTTAGCAACCCAGTCCATTCCATAAGGCGACTTTGGACGATATCGCTTTCTACAATCCAGATATGCCTCAAATCCATCAATTTGATGTATTAATACAATATAACCGGGCGGTTCGGTGATGTCGTTTCAGTCTGGTACATATACCCCTCATATTAATGGCTTGACAATACTATCATCTCTCCTCCGCTTCTTACCGTCTTGAGTCGTCCATTCTGTTTCCGCGTCTTTAAGGAGCTCGGTAGAATTGCGAAGCTCTTTTCCTGACACTACTGTCAGTGAAAGCCACTGTAATATAACAAATATGGCGTCTCGCAGCGGTCATGATGGAGATCCTTCGGGACCGAGGTTTCGCCCAAGAGACGGCCTACATCTCCGACCGCTGAATGTTGAAAAGGGATCACACAGGGTGTGTAGCGCAGTTGCTCCTGGATTGATACTGGCTGACTACTTTCCTTAGTTTCCTGTGTATGTGCAACCTCTGCTCTATTTCCAGAGTCTCTGGATGATACTGACGCTGTCGCAGATCGGACTCTATACCTCCCCAGACCGCAACTTGGCGGAACAATTTGGTCAGTTGAATTCATTTCCTGTACGTTCTGTAGGAATTCTATGCTGATATATCTATAGACCGCACTTTCTCAGCGTCGTAACTTGCTGTTCGTGGCCTACAGCCATCAAATCTATGTATGGGAGCCTGCTGGCTCGTTTCAGATGCTTGGCCCCCAGCCTGAAATGATCATTACTCCTGTTATGAAGGAGCCCCATAGCAGTGGCTATATTTCACCAAGCGTCCCTCATGCCATTAACAACCTTCTCGTGGATGATCTCGGTCGCGAGGAAGTGTTGCTGCTTGTCACTGACTCGGGTAATGTCTGCGGTTACCGAGTCGAGGCAATTTTCTCAGCGCTGAAGCGCGCCACAGAAAACAAGGACAACACACGCCCGCTTGACGGTTCCCAGGTGGACCCATTCTTCGTTGAGTACGTGCAGGCGAGCGCCTGGGGCTTGGCTATACATAAATTTGCGCGGCTTATTGCTGTAAGCGCAAACACAGGTCTCATCACTGTCTTCGCATTTGCGCTGGTAAATCCTACATCTAAAGACGGTAGCGATGAGCTGGAGAATGAACCCCATCTCACGGACTACGATCAAACCTGGTTGGACATTAGGGGTATTGAGCAATTTGCGCAATTGCAACGACTCATGCCAGACAAGCATCGGACAAGAAACATCAAGCTCACCTACACAGGGCACTTTTCAAACATACCGTCTGTCGGGTTCTATAACTGCGATCTTGATCCCAACGGGACATGGATGGTCAGTACTGACATTGACAACAAGCTTCTTGTGTGGAAAGTCTGGGAAAGCCTGGGCCCGTTCAACGTCTATCACTTCAACGAATCTACCGTCAGGTCGTTTCCCGAGACTTTGCGTAATGAGTAAGACACAGATATTCTTACTATTGAATGACAGCTTATGCTAATTTAAACAGCATCGAAAGAGGCTGGACCGTCCTCGCCCTTGACCCACGCACCTTTCAGCCAGTCAAGACTACAGAAGAGGCCTTCGGCGGCCAGCCTTTGCGTCGCAAGAAGCGCGGCCAGGTCGTTCTCGACATTACAAGATTGAGCAACCGTATACCAGATGCTTCACATCTTTACAACTACTTTCCTCCCGCAGTCAGATCTGAGCCTGATCAAGCAATTTTGCCTGACATCTTTGGAGCGGACTGTCGCATCTGTAGTGACCCTCATAAACAGGCATATTCGACAAGGCCCAAAGGCCACCCCGCGAACCGCAGCAGCTCTTCGGACTCGGAGCCTGCTGGTGAAGCCAATCATCCCTCAGAGGCAGCCGACAGCCTGGATTATCATGCTGCGGATGGTTCGGCTGCTGAGGAAGAAGGTAGTGAGTCGGATATGAATCGGGACCCAAGCCAGAGAGCTTCGAACCAGGATGCTGTCGGATCTGGCGACGATGAGAACACAAACAGGTTCGACAACGCAAACGTCAATCTTCGGCGTCATCGTGGACAAGGGCCTTTGACAACCGCGGAGTTTCTCCAGTTTGCACTGTTAGAAGCCTTAGGTGGCGACATCCCGGGTGCCGAAGAATATCTTGACGACAATCTAGATTACTCAGATATCGACGAGGATAACCTGGGAGAAGAGAGTGATGACACTGATGAGGAGATGGACGACGCCGAGGATCGTTCCTCCGACAGTGATGCAATTTCGGACACTGGACTACCCCCATACTCGGGTTCCGATGGTATGTAGCTCAGGTTGTTCTTTGCAGTTCACGTAACAGCAGGCATGCTGACAAACATTGCTGCTGACTCCAGCTCTCTTTCGGTTTTATTTTCCAATCCTTCATTTTTCGCAGACAGACATCCGTCTGCTTCCTCACCCTCTAGCGCCACAACCCAGTGTTGTATGTGGAGCGCCGCTTCGACAGATTTTTACCAGACCGATAGTGTCCATACGGGCGTGCGATCGATTTAATATGGTCAAATGCATTCCCGAGCACGGCATAGTTATCGCGGCATCCCAGAAAGGCCGTGCCGCCGTGATAGCTCTCACCCAATCAGAAGAAACTGGTCTGTCGTTCAGAGTCGATTGGATAGTTCCGTTTGAGACTCAGGAAAAGTTCGGCGAGCGTCCGCTAGTCCCCCTGTTAGGCATGAGCGTCAGCCCCATTCAGGGATTTGAGATGCCTCCAGATGTGCTCTACATCCCTCGCGACGTGGGCGACGGCAAAGAATGGAAGTTCCAATTTAAAGAGGTGAAACACGATAGGAGCAATAGCTTCACTCCATCCTCCAATATTAAGGGTGATTCGAGAAAGATATACGCTCCGACATTTCCTTCAGGGCCTGGGCTGAGACAATCTCCAACCGAGCGTGAACAACAATACCCATCCACACTGCCCGAGTGTCACGCTAGAGCAACCCGGGCCTATCAGCCAGAGGAGCATTGGCGAGGCTGGAATCCTTCTCGTCGATATCGTCTGCTGTTGGTGTACGATGATCATACGGTAATGAGCTACGAGTTCTGGTACGACTGGAAGACAAAAGCATCCGGCGAAGAGGATGGATCGGATCAAGACGAAGTGCTCATCGTCTGAGGACACCGATACGCATTCAATGTGCACATTTGCATAATGGACGGCGTTCTGCATCGTGTCATTTTATAAGCCAATCCATTCCGTACAAGAAAAGCATCTGACATACACACAAAACCCCTCCACTTATTCACGAATGTACAAAGCTAAATCAGTACATACCTTCTGCTGGATTTCCATATATGCCGCTCAACATCTTTATGCCGCAAGCATTCCACAAGTACTCACTTGGACAAACCACCTAGGTCCAAGTCCTGCCCAGGCACATTTAACCCAACGGTACTGCCAGTCATAGTTCCAGGCCCGTAACAGCCTCCCTCCCAGCATCGATCGTCGCTGTCGCCGAGTTATGAGAAAAACCCGCGAGGATATGCCGGGGTGCGCAAAATAAATGACCTGGTCATGCCACACCTTCATGGCCACATCCATGCGCGATGTCCCAGGCGCTCGAGATAATTCCTCTGACCTACAGACAACCACCACTACAATTAGCCTACCTAGGCACCAGCCGGTAAATGGCTGCGTTCAGTTATGAGATGGTTATGGGTTTGTGCTATTTGTTACTTTCGGGGATTTAGCAGGTATAGTGCGGCATTGTATCGGGATAGTTGTTTTGTTGGATTGAGGATGGTGTTCAGGCATCTCTGCTTTTTTCTTTGGCATCTCTTTTTCCGGAAAATTGGAGGTGTCTTGCATTGTACATCGTGTAATTGACAAAATATGTTCGCACAGGTACAGCTTTCTTCCAAGGGACACAAAACACGCAATGCTATGAACAGAATGTCGCTAATCATATATATATGCATCACATCATTATTTGGCAAATGCATGCGAAAAGATGTTGTCTTTTAAATGCACTTGGGCATCATCGTGATAGTTCATGATTAGGTTGTAGTCGTCAAGAATGCCTGATTGTTGTATCGAGCATATCAGGCAGTCAAAAGTCATCATCCAATTCGTCACTGTCCCATTCATCCTCACGATCATTTTGAACCAGATCCAAAAACCTCTGGAGGCCTGGTCGATGGATTCGTCCTGGGCGAGGCGGCTGAACTGCAGCTTGCCCGTCATGTTGCCGAGGACGGTCCGCAACAGGGCGCGCTCGCACCTCAGCCATCGCTCGCGCCTGGGCTTGCCTCTCTGCAGCTGCTGCCCTGCCCGCTGCGTCCAGAACATTCGCATCATTGCCACGATTTCGGTGACCATGACCACCTGCAGCTTGGTTGACTTGTGGTGGCACCGGAGCAGGAGGTGGAGGTCGCCTTCGGCGTGCGATCTCATCTTCACGGAACTCCAGGACATGAGCACCTTCGTCATCACTCGGTTCGTCAAAATCTACCAGATCATTAGGTATTCGGTGTAGAGCCTCAGGACCTTCGGGATCAATGCCATCTCCTCCCTCCAAATCCCACAATCGATTATAACACCGGCTGTTGGTATCGTTGAAGTGGCGGTAAGGGTTGTCTTCAGAAAGCCAGCTCGAACAGAGATAGCAGAAGTGGGTACTGCACTTGAAACATATCATATGGTTGCAGCCCATGCGTTTCTGACAGGGAGCATCGCATGTGGGGCAAGGTGAGGTGTAAAGCCTTAGGTACTCCTCTGTCGCTTTCTCTTCGGCTGACAGCTCCGCCTCCCGCCGAGGGAAGCACCGCACCAATTCCCCATGCCAACCTTTCTTACAGACGCTGCAGAAGGCATAGTTGCAATCTTCACAGATGGCAACACGATCCGCCATTGGCGGCAGCTGGGCCTCATCTCCGTTCGGATCAAACGCAAACCCTTCCTCCTCGTCAGACGAGCCAACGTCATCTGTCATGGGATCGATGGGCTTCGGATGCTTCTTGGACCTAGCTGCACCCTGGCACCACTGTCGAGGGCAGTAAACTGTTGACTTGTCAGACTCGAGCTTCTTCTTTCTCTTCAGAAAGACATAGCGCTGGACCGTCTCCTGGACTAATGGTATCTGAAGCAGCTCGCTCGGACTAAGAGTTCGATCATGCTTCTTGCGCTTTTTCAACTGGTTCCCTGCCTCTGGTATACCGTTATTCTCCTTGCCGCAATCGGGAGCCAGACATTTGACACTGTCAACATCTCCCTCTGTGATACAACTGTTGTAGAAGTCTTGCAGGCATGAAACGCAGAAAACATGAGAACAGAGCAGAAGGCGGTGGCAAACCGATCCCTTCTTGGGCTCGAGGCAAACCCCGCATTCGAAGGTCTCTTGTTCGAACTTTTCCCGCTCTGCCTTGTTGTTGAAATCCAGCATTGCGATTTTTATGTCACGGGGAAGTTTCACTTCCTGGTCAGCGGTGTCGCTGACGCTAAAAGCTGTCTCTGCCAATTGCTGGAGGTGATCAATATACGTATACACAACGAGATCCCTCCCACATTCTTCCCACAAACGTTTGCCATCCTCCATGAGGCGCAAGATGATCGAGTGCGGGAGCCATGGTGGATTTGTCTCGAGCCTGAAAATGGGCGCCTTTTCAGAAGGGTAACCTTCTGGGAGATCAATCTCAAGACTGAGAGGCGGCAGGTGCGAGAGGGTATGAACGTCCCTTCCGTCGTCCTTGGCTGCAAAGCCGAGTCCAACATCGCTGGCATCGAGGGAAGTAGGAGGAGTTAAGACCTCTGGGAATCCAGCGTCTAATTGCTGCTCGAAGCAGACAGGTAAGGGTGTCGAAGGTTTGACGGGTATATCCAAAGAGGCCCTGAAGGGAGAAGCAGGATCTATTTTAATTTCAGGGTAGATGGCAGCGATGGAGGACAGCTCGACTGAGCGCTCATCCTCCGACAGAAGGTCAGACCCGGTCATTGCGAACAAGACTCAGAGATGAAAAAGAATGCAGATTTGCTGATGAGATTATCGGGATAAGAGGTTATATCGGGTGGCGAGGCGGAGTTTGGACGAAGTTATTCCAAACCCAACCATAGTATAAAACCGGAACTCTCGTGCCGTTATAACATTCTGCGAGGCAATGATCGACTAGAAAATAAAAGTAGTGTATATTGACGGACCAATGTAGAGATATACAGGGGTCGAGGAGCGTAAGGTGGTGTCGGAGACTCGAGGAAACCTATCCGTGTCTATGCATTAGTAAAAGAGGCCCAAGGTAGCATGAAAATGAGTGGCGGCGGTCGAGAAGACGACCGTGGATGGATTATACCTACTCCTCAGGTACAGTAAGCTCGTTGGTCGATCACAATTGCCTATGAAGGCAACAGGCCCATTAAGCAAAGAGATCGGTATGATGTCAAAGCGAGTTCTTGAACTGTTTGCTGTTTCCTCGAGGGACTTGTCGGAGAAGATGAGTGAGAGAACAAAATTTCGCGATGATAACGTGGGGGAAAGTGCGTCATGATTCGATTATAGAGATAAGAAACCGAGTGATGAGAGACGGAGACTGGTCTTGTACCTGAGACAGCAGAGGAGCTCCGAAGAAGCAAGAGGAAAAAAGGAGCAAAGAACAGAGGCTGCGTGAGTCATGAACAAGACTCAATAAAAATAAGCGATTGCAATGGGCAGCAAAACGGTCGTTTTTGTTGCTGCCCAGGCGCTGCTCTCACTACTACCGTTCGGGTGTATGGTTCCTATGATTTATTTACTTTGCTAAAAAAGATATTGACTGACATATTGAATGATTCCCACAGATAAGGGGTACTTGTTTACTTTCTACCTTCTTTTTCCCTTTAGATTTCTGATATTTCGTGGCTGTTATCTTCGACTTACTCCATTATCTGATGTTATTTTCCCCCCTCATTCCCGGTGCTGCTTTTGGCGTTCCTCAGCGGGATCTCGTTCATGTGGTAAAGTGGTTAAAGCAGCGTCCATGCACGGCCACGGGTATCACTCTTTATCAGACCCATTTACTCCATGTTTCTAGAATGTCGACCAGCATTGAGCTACGGTTCCTACTTAAGCCAATGCTCGAGCATAAATTGCGCTGTACATCCCAGGATTTTGGATACGTACCGCATTGCACACCCTCCTCATGATGTATACCAGTTGACGATCATTGATCAGGATTCCTATCAGTTATCAACAGCATTCCAGGGGTGCAGTGCAGCCGCTTACACCATTCGTCCAAGTAGATAGTCAAGCTACTTATCTATCCTATACACCTGACGAGACAATATGGAAGAAACACCGCTGGCATCGCTGACGTTAACCCACGTGCATTATGTGAGTCACTGTTCCGAAAGACCTCAATCACGACCGGCGACCTCGAGCAGACCTTTGACACTGACTCCCATACTTCATGTTCATAGAACCCTGAGGACCCGCTATCCTTCCTTTCTGCCTGGCTCGCCCTTGTACCCCAAGCACTATGTGTGGCCTACGTGACCCTTATTTTGGCTTCGAGAGAAGTGGAGGTGATTTTGATGTTGGCTGGGCAAACGGGTTGTGAGGCATTCAATTTTGCCCTCAAGCGGATTATCAAAGAAGAAAGACCAAAGCGTATGTGATAGAAGCAGAAGATACACATGGTGACCTGGGCTAGAAACTGACCTTAATCAGAAATGCTCGGGAAAGGCTACGGGATGCCGTCGTCTCATGCCCAATTCGTTACATATTTCGCTGTCTACCTGACACTGTTCCTTCTCGTCCGGCATGTTCCAACTGTTCCAAAGCCTGACACGGCATCCTATTTTCTCATGAGGGTGGTGCTTGCTGCCGGAGTGTGTCTCGGGGCTGGCGCGGTGGCCACCAGCCGCATCTACTTGAACTATCATACTCCAAAACAGGTGCTAGCAGGATGCGCTGCTGGCGTTCTGTGTGCGGTATCCTGGTATGTGGCTACGAGCTTTTTGCGGACGAAGGGTTATGTCGATTGGGTATTGGATCTGGGAATATCTCAATCCTTGAGACTTCGAGACTTAGTGGTAAGTCAGGATCTCGCAGAAGCCGGATGGCAGCAATGGGAAACGCAGCGAAAGTTGAAGCGGCGAGGTCACAGTGATCATCCGTCGGCCAAATCTGATTGAAAATCGGAGACTTCATGGACTTACTGTTATAGCAGATCGACCGTCCGTGTATTGGGTTTCTTTTATGATATCCTGGCTTCCAGCATCCTTGCTGAAGATAGTATAGAAGCGAATTTTATCTTAAGCACTGAGTGAACTCACAAAAACTTAAAATTGGAGATATACTTCCCACGTCAATAACAATCCTGCTTTATCCCCGTCTGCATTACCATGCGGTTGAGTGCTCGTAGTCCCTCGCAAGTAGTAAAGCCATAGCAGTCAATTTAGCATCTCTCAATCTTACTCGAGCCATGTCCTGGTTCAAAACCTTGTACAGGTCTCTGAAAGTGTATGGTATCACGTGATACACCCAGAGGCGGGTGCGCGTGGACAGTCCACCGCCATAAGCGATCTTTCATCTGCTTCGCCGCTTTATGTTCAGAGGTGGAATTCCGCAGGATGGATCTTGGAGACTGATGGCGATGCTTAGCCTTTTGATTTTTTCCAGGCACTTTCCTCAGTGGAATACTTAGGCTTCTATCCGTATTCCTTTGCCTGCCCCTCATCTTTTGATTCCAGTTCGCTTGGAGATACTATGATAGTATGGCTTTACAGTAACATTTTCCGTCTTTGTGCTAAGCTATTTCCTCGAAGCATTGAGACCATTTTTAGAGCTCAATGACGGATGATTCTATTGCGTCTTCTGAACCCACAATGCAGGAACATCATATTGTCAAGGCCGACGAGGTCGATCAAACAGGAACCGACATCACAACTGTGTCGGATGATCAGTTGATGGAAGAGGTCGCGCAAGGCCTGCGACAGGAGCAAGCTTCAAAAGCGAGGTCTTCTGGACCAAATGAGTTGCAAGAGCAAAGACCCAAACCATCGAGGCGTCCGGAACTGCGTCGGGACGTATCAGCTCCCCCGCCTCCTTTACAGCCTCCGCCTCCTGCTCCGGTGCAGCAACTCCCGGACAGACCGCCGGACTCGTTGAGTCTGGCTCAATTAAAGCAGATAGTTCAGGACATGCCCAAGGCAGATCAACCTGCGTATGCATTTGAGTACGCTGACTCGCAGCCTCTTGCGGAAGAAATCGAAGAATGGTTCCAGTACAGCGAGTTTGATCGAATCATGCTCCTTGGCATGAAGTCTACATTTGAGCGAAAATGGGCTTCCTTCTGTGAGAAGCAGTCTGCGGTTTCCAATCAGCTGCCTTGGCTGGATGCCTCTCATGACTTACGCAAATCTTTCATGGAACGGATCATCAATGGGCTACCGGATCGAGACATTTCTGCTCGTACGGAAGCGTTAGAGGTTATCTGCTATGCATTGACTGGTATCTGGGGTAGTACTGCTGGAAAAGCAGTCCCTGACTACCCAGAAGATCTGCCCCCGCAGGCAGTCACAGATACACCCAAATCAAAATCTCTGCAAATCATATGGATGCAGAGAAACGCTGAGCTTGTTAATGAATGTTCAGGACTAGGTCCATTGCTCAGTTGTCTGTGCAAAGCTCTTGAGAAGAATCGGAGCTCACCCAATCCCGAGTTGGATGGTCTGGACTCGAGCTCGGATTCCGCAAATGTCGCTGCCTCAGAACATGAAGTGAACCTTGTGCTTACGGCTTTATACATCATCGTAGAGATTAGCCGAAGACAAGAGAAAAATGATCCTCAAAATGTTCCCCTACGCGATGCGCTCATGGGCTTGAAGCCTAAGCTGCCAGTCTTTCTTGTCGAGGTCATTGCACGACTGCGGTGGGACGATACAGCAAACATTCCGCTCACGCGGATCATCCTCCTTTTTTGGAAGTCTCTTCTCCTCTTCTTTGGGGGAAGCGAGAGCTTGAAGAAAGCCAAGGAAGAGTTGGAGCCGCGAATCGAGGCACGCGAAAACTCTCCCAACCGGAGGACACCATTTCTGACTGCTTCCCCCCTGGATTACCACCTGTTCCGGCAAGAGATCACATCAAAATACCCCGCTTACAACCCCCCGCTACCAGTCGTTCCTCTGGAGCTTGAAAATAACTCGATCCTCCCTCCTCTTCCTCAGCATCCTAGCCGCACCAGTTCATCTACCGGCCTCTTTTCCGGAGTAGGTCCCTCTGTGGCTGGTGGAAACGGCTCTATCCTCCATCAGTCTGTCCACATTGCTACACCGGCTCCATCTCCTCCGCCGTCACCTATAGGACCCGGTGGCAAAGCAGGCAAGAAGCAGAACTACCAGACGAACCAGAACTTTCCTTTTATGTATCCTCCATTGGATGATTTGAGCAACGATATCGGCGGAAGAGGAAGCACTGAACGGCAAGATGCACTCGTGGGAAAGAGATGGGAAGGAAGCGATGTACCGGCGTCAATCATCGAAGCCGGAAAGCTCTTCTCGACTCACGTTAAGATGACTAGAGCGATGCGCCAGCTGTGGGAAGAAAGAGAGCGTTTCATGAAATATGACCGCGGCTGGTATCTTGACGAGAACTCAACTGGCTCAGACGAGGACCCCTCTGGTGAACTTGTTGAGGGCTTGCAAGACCTGGGTTTAGAGGAGAGAAGAAAGTCGAGTCACAGTTGGGTTCCACAGAGGGAAACCGATAATGTTGATATACAGCGCCGCTTAGATGCTGTCGAATCGTTCTACGTACGTGTTTCCCCGTCTTTAACATTGTTGACATACTGACGCCTTGATAGTCCCAGGTACTGGTGCACCTACAGTCGATCACAATTGTCTTCTTGAAGATCATTTTGACCAATGTCAGTGCTATGGTCAATCAAGCAAATGGTCAGAATGGACATGCCATGAGGTATGTAGCAGACAGTCTATCGACGAAAACAGGAAGGACAGGAAATGGCTGACTTGACGGTTAGTGATGGCTACGCCAATGGGTTTCCAGCTGCACCCAATAGCTTCTCGGATAGTTTTAATGCCGATGCTGCCATTGAGGAGCTTGACAACATCCGCCTGCGAGAAATTACAGGGAAGGCTATATCTGGATCTTTGTTGCTCATGTTGAAGTGGTTCAAGAGATCTCGTAAGTTACGATATCGAGGCCTATGCAAGATGGTTTCTAACTGGCTGTAGATATATTAAAGTTTGAGTATATGACGCAGCTTTTGCTCGATTCGAACTATTTACCCCTGATTCTGAAGATGTTCGCGCACCAAGACATCGACCAGGCAATAGCACAGAAGAACGACCGTGAAGAACTAGGGTAGGTGCTCGTCAGCACTGATCAGGATGGAGTCACTAACTCTAAGCAGTTTCTTTCGCTTTTGTCATGTTCATTCCGATCAACCGCCGAATTCAACCGATAACTCAGACGAGGACTCATCAGAAGATGAAGCCGTGCCCCCGCCTATTCTTCGGCACCGCCGTGACACGGATCCTGGCACCTCCTCAGTACGACCCTCGTCTCCCCAGGAGGCTCTCCCTGAACTGGTAGAAGGCCCTCATCGTCCTGAAGTTGACGAACTGGGATTTCCGACTGCTCCTCCGCCGAAAGAGCCCATCACGGTGTTCTCGTTTCGGAACTTCTTCTCTGCCATCAATTACCTCCACATCATGCAGAAGATCACGCGGGACAAGGCACACAGGTGCCTGCTACTTGTTCAGTACAAGTCCAGCACAATCTTACGAAAGGGGCTCAAGATTCCTGATCCCTACCTGCGATTCTACACCCTGAAATTGTTCAAATCTCAGGTACCCTACTGTGGCCGCAAGTGGCGCCAGAGCAACATGCGGGTCATCACTGCGATTTATCTATACTGCCGCCCGGAGCTACGGGATGACTGGCTGGCTGGGTCGGATATTGACGCAGAAGTGGAGGAGGCATTGCCACTGGAACAAGCCCTCAGAGGGCTGACACACTGGTGGCACCTACGTCGATACAAAGACGTGATGGGCGGCGAAGAAGGTGCGTCCATGATGGAAGAAGAGCGGGACTTCTTTGTACGCGAGTTGGAAGCTATGGGTTGGGGGTTTGCCGGTGAGGAAATGATGAATGAGGAGGCGGACATGGCTGCTAACGGGGCCATGATGAATGGGACGGAATGGGATGGTGGCCCCTTACAGATGGAAGGATGGTGATGTAAATATCTTTTAGCGTTGACGAAACATATTGCCGCTGCATTTTGTTGAAATGGCCGTCATGATGCGTCGTATATAGAGTAGCTCAGCTGGCCGAGATAAAGAGAGGAACAAATAGATCAGTTGATAACGATAAGCTGGCAATCGATAAGCGCCGACCACGTGACCGATTGCTACCGCAACTTTTTTTTTTTCTCTGCGGAGAAAATCATCTTTCGATCCATCAAGTCAACAGAAAACCATTCTGCCTCTGAACAGGCTGGGCAGGTCAAATCTGGTGCACATATCAGCCGCAATCAAATATCATGTCTTCCGACGAGATTGTCTGGCAGGTCATCAACCAGCAGTTCTGCTCCTACAAGCTCAAGTGAGTGAAACCCAGCGAGGCCTCGTCGAGTCCGCCGCCCGCGAAAAACAAAATCTCAGCCGATGAATGTATGCACGTACTAATACCACACTGTCCAGGACAACCAAAGGCCAGAACTTCTGCCGCAATGAATACAATGTCAGCGGTCTCTGCAATCGCCAGTCTTGCCCGCTGGCCAACTCGCGGTACGCTACCGTGCGGTCGGATCCGGAGACGGGCGTTATGTACCTGTACATGAAGACGATCGAACGAGCCCACATGCCCAGCAAGCTCTGGGAGCGGATCAAGTTATCGTCCAACTACGCCAAGGCGCTCGCGCAGCTCGACGAGCGACTGATCTACTGGCCCAAGTTTCTTATTCATAAGTGCAAGCAGCGTCTCACGCGGCTGACGCAGGTGGCTATTCGGATGCGGAAGATCGCCAAGGAGGAAGAGCGGCTGGGGGAGAAGATTGTGCCGAAGCTGGCGCCGAAGATCCGGCGGAGAGAGGAGACGAGGGAGCGCAAGGCTGAGTCGGCTGCCAAGGTTGAGCGGGCGATTGAGCGTGAGCTGATTGAGCGGTTGCGGA